CCTTCAATCCTGATGCCGCATTCTTCTTCATATAGTCCAGCTACAAAAGACTTCTTTAAAGTGTTTAAAAGCAAAGATATCACTTTGAGGACTAAGTTGCACCCGACACAAGCCATGGTATTTTCAATTGCCTCATATGTGTGCAAAAGCTGAACAATGAATACAGAAAGCTGAATAATTGAGGCTTTTTGAATTATGGTGTTGTCAAAGAATATTGACTATACCATAGACTGCCAGAAGAATGAACAAGTCTGTCTTAGAAGAAGTACAGCCAGAATGCTCATTAGAAGCAAAGATGGTGAGACTTTGTCTTATATACTTTGGACATGTTATCAGGAGGGACCAGTCCCTGGAGAAGGACATCATGCTTGGTAAAGTAGAGGGTCACCGAAAAAGAAGAAGACCCTCAACAAGATAGATTGACATAGTGGCTGCAACAATGGGCTCAAATAGAACAACGATTGTGAGGATGGCACAGGACTGGGCAGTATTTCATTCTGTTGTACATGGGGTTGCTATGAGTCGAAATCAACTAGGTAGCACCTAACAACAGCGTGTAACATGGATTACTAAGCTCATAAAAAATAAGATGGTACCTTTTCTTTACTTCTGTTTTCATCACCTCATTTCAGTTCAAATTCCAACCTGACTCTTGAGCTTCCTTTCTGGCCTCCTACCCTCGATTTATTAATTTTCCCTCAGCAGCAAGAATCATCTTTATTAAACTTTGTTTTAATGCCTCCCACATTCTACTCTTCTAAGAACTCTGCAATCACTCCCCAGAAAATATTGAACCTCAAAGTTTGGTTTTGGATCGTATCATTTATCATGAATTCAATTATGTCTCCCCAAAATACGCATTGTAAATCTGGTGGCACAGTGGTTAAAATGCTTGGCTGTTGACCAAAAGGTCAGTGGTTTGAACCCATCAGCCGCTCTGTGGGATAAAGACGTGACAGTCTGCTTCTGTAAAGATTACAGCCTTAGAAACCCTATGGGGAAGCTCTACTCTGTCTTACAGGGTCTCTATGAGTCGGAATAGACCTGAGGGCAATTTTTTTTTAATTTTATACCTGTAGTTATAATCCCGTATGGGAATGTTTTTTCTTTGTTATGTTAATGAGGCAGTATTAGCGTAGGGTATGTCGTAAGTCAATCTCTTTTCAGATAAAACAAGAACAGACTGAGCAAGCAACCAGGCAAGCAAGCAGAGATGGAGGAAGATAGATGCCAGGCCACATGAAGACCACCAAGGAACCAAGGAGCTGAAACTGAAAAGTGACAAGAACCTTTCTCCCCAGAGCCAACAAACGGAAAGCTTTCCCTAGAGCTGGTGCTGTGAATTTGGCCTTCTAGCCTCCTAAACACTGAGGAAGTAAGTGTCTATTTGTTAAGGTCACCCGCTTGTGGTATTTCTGTTACATCAGCACTTGACAACTAGGACAGTCTTCCTTCTAGTTAATACCTCGAAGTGAGCCAATAGGAATTGACCACTAAATTAGAACTAGAAACCATATATATACATTAAAAAAAAAAAACCCAAACCCGTTGCTGTTGAGTTGATTCCAACTCATAGCAATCCTATAGGACAGAGTAGAACTGCCCCATAGGGTTTCCATAAGGTTTCCAAGGAGAGGCTGGTGGATTTGAACTGCCAACCTTTTGGTGAGCAGCCAAGCTGCTATATAGGAGGCTACATTCTCCAGGAAGAATAATCAAATAGGGAAATAAGCAAAAGTATTTTTAGTCAATTAAATAGTCCTAGATTTTATGTATAAATTTTGATATGGTGGATTTCTAGGTTGAAATTGCCTGGAATGACCATTTAAAGAAATGATATCTTTTTGTGTGTGTGTGGCTAAATATATATAACGAATCATTTGCCATTTCCTTTGCCTTTTGCGTGTATAGTGACATTAATTACGTTCACCATCTTGTGCACTCATCACAACTATCCATTGAAATTACATCTTGAACAAATGGCAATTTCAGTCTCTTTCATGCCTTACTTTTTCTTAATTAGTCTTTTGGTCTTTTAATTTTTTTTAAATTACATTTAAAATATAAAGTTAGGGACCATGTAGTGAAAAGACAACATCACAGAGTTCATGAAAAAAGTCTCACACCTGAGGTACCTCCTAGACTGGTCTGCATCCATTAACCTCATTTCCACTTCCTGCTGCTGTCTAATTGGAACTATTAGGTTTAAGAATGGTATCTTTTAATGGCTTTCATTCCCAAAGGGACCTAAGACAAAGCCACACTCACCTGGGGGATGAGGTGGCAGGAGCGGACCGAGTCGTTGAGGCCCATCCACTGCTGGTAGTTGGGGTACTCGCCCCGGCGCAGGAAGTACTGGTGCCCCTGGTAGTTGGGGTACTCATAGAGCATCCAGCAACCGCTGTCCACCCGAATGGAGTTGCAGCGGCTGAAGTAGATCTGCAGGTTGGGACAGTCACTGCTACATGGGTAGGAGCGACCCTGGAAGCCCCGGTCCTCATAGAAGGTGATCTGTAATGGAAAACAAGGTGACAGCAGGCAGTCAGCGAGAAGATACATCTCCACATACAGTAGACTCAATATACATGCAATGGCACCTCCACTGGCTCACCTTTCCCATGGTTGTTGACAGCAAATGATCAGCCTCCAGCAGATGGGGATGAGGGTGGCAGCTGTATATATAGCAGGATGACTGCTGCATTGGCAAGACCAACACAAAAAGAGCCTGGGGGTAGTGTGTAAGGGGATTTCTGTTTTCTTTTCTTTCATTTTGGGGTCATGGAGCAGGGGGTTCTGATTCTCTCTGGCATTTTCGTGTTGTCCTCGCCAGCCACAATGAATGGAATTGAAATCAGCAGAGCCATTATGACCTTGGAGACAAAGGGCGCACTTCTCATCCTATGCAGCTCTCTAGAAATACATTCCATACCCAGCATTTTGTAATGTTTGCCTATGGAAACTGCTGAGATGGAGGTTGGTGGCTCCATCTGGGGTGACTTGTGAGAATCGTATGAATTCCAGAGGGACTTGTGCTAAAGGGCAACAAAATTCCAAACAAAAAAATCTTCTCAATGAGAAAGACAATTATGTTTCCTAAATTACTACATCAACATGATACAGGTTTTTTTTTTCTTTTTTTATAAACATGATACAGTTTTGATAAAAAATATTTTGCATGTGGTTATGCAAGAAAAAAAAGATTTGAACAGTGTATACACCAAAATGTTAATAGCGGTCATCAATGAATGAAAAGGGAGAGGGCCTAATTTTATATTTTTATTTTTCTGTCTTTTATTTCCTTAATTTTCTATTGTAAATATATACTACTTTCATGACATGGAAGGAAAATAATAAAAGCAATATTTAAATGTAAGTGTTTAAATTTTAAATGGTGAAAAGCAGCAAATTTTGGAAATAGGTATATTTTGTCTTGAGATTAATAAACACTTTTTTAAAAAAGAAAAAAAGGTCTGTCAAGACACTGTAAGACACTTGGAGAGCAGGAAAATACACAGGATCTCTACCCCACCCCAAATTGTCTTCTAGGGCTGCTTTTTGTTTTTAAAACTAGCATCATGATTTGCTTGTCTGCCTTCCCAGAAGCACCACTGTTTCATAGAATCCAGACGACTGTCCAAAGAGCTTTCTCCAATGCTGCCAGCCTACTGTTTTAGACCAAACAGTTGTCCTTGAGTCAACTTCAACTCATGGCAACCCTATGCATGTCAGAGTATAACTGTGCTCTAGAGGGTTTTCAATGGCTGATTTTTTGGAAGTAGATTACCAGGCCTTTCTTTCGAGGTGCCTCTGGGTAGACTCAAACCTCCAACCTTTCTGTTAGCCACCAAAGGTATTAACCATTTGCACCAACCAGAGACTACTTCGATTTAGAAGGACTCCTCAGATGTGCAGTGGTAAAGAATAATGTCAATTCCCACCTTATGTACATCACATGTGTATATATAAAGATAAAATCAAACACCTTGCTATTTCACAACTAACAATATGTTCACAATGCTATTTGTGGAAATCCTCAGTCAGCATGCAAAGCAGATAGAGAGCAATAGCCACAAAGAAAAAATGTTCCCTCATAACTAGCAGACTTACACAACCTGTGCAAAGAAAACTGGGCAAAGTCCTATAAAGCCAGGCACCTGGCAGGGTTTCTAGGGGCCACAGGTTAATTCCTTCTAATTCCTTCCTCCTAATGCCGTAGGCCTACTAGGTTACAATCGTAACCAAACCCAGAGTAGAAAAGGTCACATTGGTCTCCCCAGCCACAACAACCATCTGAATACACCTCCATTTTCAGCAGAAATCAACAAGCCACGTGTGTTTTTGCTAATGAAACTGTCCTGTAGAAGGAAGACAGGCCATTTAAACCTTAGGAAAAGTATAATGTGTACTCACATTGCTTTGATCAAATTGCTACTGCACACATTTACAGGCCAACCCATGTGCCTAGTAGGCATTTTGGAAATGTACAGAAAGACGAGAGCATTTTTTTCTCCCTAGTAGTCATTACAGTCTACTGAAAGAGAGCCTGTATCCATTTTCCTTTTAATGCTTTATTGAAATAATTTTAAATAAATGTTTCTATATGAGAACATAGTAAGGGCAATAAGTGACAGATTAATTTTATATTGGATTGAAACTTTGGAAAATTGCCTCCTCCTATTCCACCACTCTGCAATATTCAATGCTAAACATTTGTAAAACGTGCTACAAAGCCAGCCTGTTCTGACATAGAGTACCATTCACTCTCTGTATTCCTGAACAGTCTTCCAGTCACAAGGAAGTAGCATAAGATACACACATTTATTACCAAACGTAGCAGTGCAATATGCTTCTGAGAGAAAATACCTCAGCAACACCCAAAATAACACTCCAATGTTGTTTGCATCAAAAGCTAACTGTACAGAAAAATGTACCGGCAGGAGTTGCAGATTTAAAATGATGTTTCTTTTCCTCTCGCAGAGATTTTATTATGAAGCCCCAGTCTAAGTGACCTGCAGAATAAAAAGATGGTTTTAGTATCAAGCACATCAATTTACCATGGAACACAGACATTAGGCTTTCACTCTGTAGTGGGTTAAGGTTAATCATCAGATATTAACTTGCTGACAAAGATAGATTAAAATAAATGTACGTAAAAAAGAATTTCTATGGTTTTAATAAATTTGGAAATTAAGAGTTATGTTTCAACTAAATGCAATATATAATCCCACACTAGATCCTGTACAGAGGGGAAAAATGCTTAAAAAAAAAGACATTATTGGCTCAATTAACAAAATTGGTATATAGATGGTAGGTTAAATAAAATGATCAATGTTAGATTTTCTGAGGTTGATAATTGTACTGTGGTTTATTTAAGGGAGTAATTTTGTTCTTAGGAAATACACACTGAAGTATATAGGTGTAAAAGGGTATGATGTATGCAACTTCAGATGGCTCCGAAAGAAATTATCTATATCCATACACACAGAGAGAGAAAGAGACAGAGAGAATAATAAAGCTAACAGAGCAAAACATTAAAACTGGTGAATCGGAGTAAAGGGTACATGACAGTTCTTTGCATTATTCTTGCAACTTTCCATAAGCTTGAAATTATTTCCAAATACTATGTTATACTTCTTATGACTAACCCTACCCAAAGCCAATCACTTCTTTGCCCTTTAGCGTTGTATATTATGCTCGTTTTATTTTGAACTTTTTTATATATTGCTTTGAAATTAAACTGCTTAATGGGAATAAGGCTTCCTTTTGGGGTGAAGAAAAAGCATTGGAACTAGATAGAGGTTGCACAATACTGTGACTCTACTAAATGCCATATTTTAAAATGGCTAATTTTTTGTAATGTCAATTTCACCTCAATTAAAAGATGCAAAAAAACGCCCAATATAGCAACCAAATGAAATACAAAGGAATTTCAGCTTTTATTTGTGTTTCTTGGAGTGAGCCCAATTCATAGCTTTTCACAGAATCACTTTTCAAAATCCCCTACTCCTCTTCCTACCTCACAACCCTCCAGCTGCTCCAGAGCCTCTCACTCAACAAACCCCTAAAATATCCCAGACACTGAGCCTGTACCACTTTTCTGATCCTGTCTCCTCTCCTCTTATATTGACCAGCTGGGTATCTCTGACTTCTTTTTAAATTTCCTGTTCACTTTTCACCGTACAATGGAGAGCCTCCAAGCTGGAACAGCAGCTCTCCTTCCCCTCTTTCTCTCCAGCCCCATCCATCTCTGACCATTCTCTGAATTCTGCAACACAAAAATACCAGGGAACCGATGCATAAGGCAGGACAGGGGAGAAGCCAAGCAGGCAAAGACGAAATTCTCCTTAGTGAGAGGGACCAACGACAGGAACATTTGGAACAGAAGTATTCATATAAATCTTCTCCTCAAAGCACTTATTTGAGTCAACAAACTAATTTAACTTGTGAATAGTATTTCTCAGATGCTTAAAAGTTAATAATGGTTAATATATCTTTAGGCTTTACTCTATGCCAAGCACTGTTCTAACTTCTTAACATGCATCTCAGTTAATTATCCCAACAACCGTAAGAGGTAGCCACCATATTTTCCCATTTTGCAGAGGAAGAAACTAAGGCACAGAGAGGTTAACTAGTTTGCCTGATGTCACACAGCTGGTAAGTGGTGAGGTCTAGATTCAAACCCAGAGCTTCTAACCTCAAAGAATAGACTTTTAACCACAGTGTCCAAAACCCGCTGCCGTCAAGTCAATTCCAACTCAGAGCGACCCTATAGGACAGAGTAGAACTGCCCCATAGGGTTTCCAAGGCTGCGATCTTTATGGAAGAAGACTGCCACATCCTTGTCCTGAGGAGCAGCTGGTGGGTTCAAACTGCTTGAGTGCTTAACCACTGCACCACCAGGACTCCTTAACCATAATGTAAGTACTCCTAAATCATCTGGTACCAGTTTGGTTCAATCTGTGTTTGAGACCTACTTTGTTCTTTGGTTGTGTGTTCAAACGTAAACTTTTTGATGATTTCCATTCCATGGCATTTGCATCCCTGGCAGAGCGGTTGGTGGCATTTTTATTTGCTGCTCCTCTTCTTAACTTGACACCTATAGACACATGTAGTGATCATACTTGTATATAAAACCATTTTCTAAAAAACTGTGTCCACCCGCAGTTTTAGATCCTTCCCTTCTGGAGTGCCTTGCTCCCATCACCAAAGGTCTGAGAAAGAAGACTTCCCTGATTTTGGTAATGGAGGGTGGGGGGTGGGGATCAAATCAGAAAAGCCCCTGATACTTTTTAATTCAACCAGACAGAGAAATCTAATTACTATAACAACTTTGACCTATGTTGTGAGCCCAACGCCTAATCTTATTTAAATGTCTTTCTGTAGATAGAAGTAATCAGGCTTACTCTGTTTGCAGGCATATTCTGCTGCTTTGGGTGCTGTTAACATGGCAAAAGGGTGCAAGGAGAGACGAACAGATGGAGCTCGGGAAACCTGGAAGGAAAACAATCCTACTTTTAAAAGCTGATGCATTTTGTGTTGTTAACTTGTGCTGGTTCTAGCACTTGGCCTGTTTAATTAACCTGTTGTCCTTAGATATAAATAGTGTTCTGTTGATGAAGCTCATATGCCATGAACTTTCTCATACTGCCTTTTGCTTACATGGTTAGTAACCTTTGCCTAGAATGCCCTCTCACACACTAATGCTGTTCACTGAGTTCTGTTTACCCATAAGGTTTTCAAGGAGCGGCTGGTAGATTCAAACTGCTGACCGTTTGGTTAGCAGCCAAGCTCGTAACCACTGTACCACCAGGGCTCCTTCCCTTTACCTGATAGCCATTTCCTCCTTTTCTGCCTGGATGGCTCCTACTTTTCCCTGGAGATGCAGATCAAATACCACCTTTTCTGAGAAACTTGCCCTGATGTCCCCCACCCCCACTCTCCCTTGCTGGCATCCCCCAGCCCCAAGACAGAATGATTTTACTCACTCATCTATGATCTCAAAGCATGTAGTAGCATATAACAATCCCAGTGTGTTATAGTTAGTGATAACCTGTGTGTGCTGACTTACACAGAAAACTCCTTTAAGGCTAGGATGGCCCCTTCACTCATTCCTTCAGCAAATATTTATTGAGCACCTACCTTGGGCCAGACCCTGTTCTGGAGCTGTGGTTAGTAAGACAGACAAGATCCTTGCCTTGTGGGTCTGATATTCTAGCGGGAAGAGACTAACAATAAAGCAATAGTTAGAAGATCAGCATAATTATACATTGCAGTATGTTTAATAAATGAACTAAATAAGGTGATGTGCTAGAGAGTTACTGGACAGCCACCATTTCTGATTGAATTGGCAAGGAAATCTTCTAGAAGGAAGCAACGTTTCAGCTGAGAGAAGGAGCAGAAGCCAGCCATGGGAAGAGCTGGGAAGAAGAACTCCGGGCAAAGGGAATGGGAAGAACAGGCGCAAAGGCCTTCTTAGAATAAGCTGTGCTCTCCAGACACAGAAAGGAAGCCGGTATGACTACGGCATAGTGAAAGAGGAAACAACTATTGCTGAGACCGAAGAGGGAGGCAGGACTCAGATCAGGCAGGCCTTTGTTGTCATAGCATAGAACTGTACGTTGATATTGATTCTAGGGTGCAATGCAGAGCTACTGAAATATTTTTAAGCCAGGATGTGACAAGGTCTGATTTAGATTTGTAAAAAGATCACTCTGGCTGCAAGGTGAAGAATGTAGAACAAAATTCAAATTCACAAAAAAAGACCAGACTTACTGCTCTGACAGAGACTGGAGGAACCCCCAAGACTATGGCCCCCTGGACACCCCGCTAACTCAGAACTGAAGCCACTCCCAAAACCCACTTTTCAGACAAAGATTAGACAGGCTTATAAAACAAACACTAACACATGTGAGGAATATGCTTCTTAGTTCAATCAAATATACGAGACCAAATGGGCAACACCTGCCCAAAAGCAAGACAAGAAGGCAGGAAGTGACAGGAAAACTGGACAAATGGACATGAGGAACCCTGGGCGGAAAGGGAGAGAGTGTTGTCACATTGCAGGGATTACAGCCAATGTCGCAAAATAATTTGTGTATAAATTTTTGAATGAGGAACTAATTTGCACTGTAATCTTTCACAAGAAGTGCAATAAAATTTTAAAAAATAAAGAAAGAATGGATTGGAGTGTCAAAGCGGGGAGGCCAGTTAACTAATTTAACCTTGAAGAGCACCTAGCTCATAGTGGGCCCTCAAATGTTATTGACTAGTTGAATAACTACCATTCTATTCAAGGCAGCACAGTTAAAGCATAGACTTTAGTGTCAAACAGACTGAATTTGAATGCAGGTTCTGGAAGGCTGAGGAGGAGAAGTTGGGAGCAAGTAAAGGCATATAGGAACCTACACAAGGAAGGCCCTGGAAAGGGTATACATCATAAAGGAATGAAGGGTGTAGATAGTAATGTTCACTTCCTTTCATCTGGAGCAGTAACTCACTAAACCATAATTTTGGTGTCACTGAGATGGGAGGTGTGGGATTTCTGACCCTAGGTGCCAGAGCAATTGAGTATGTGCTTATGGCAATCACATTTTCCAAAGTAAAAGTGCGGCATGTGTCCTAGTAAAGACGTTTTTACGTCTGTTCAAAAGTCTTGGAAATGTGGTTGGGGTCTTGCAAAATTATATTTTCTAAAACATTTTAATGTTTATAAAGAAAAAAGGGCAAATTTCAAATGACAGAAGTACTGGAAAATTTAAGAGTTGATTGCTCATATCCTATAGCATTTTTATTTCCTGAAAATTGAGACTCCATAAATCAAAAAGAAAAAGGCAAATAATCCGACAGAAAAATGGACAAAAGACTTTAACAGGCACTTTACAGAAGAAGAAGAAACATATGAAGGAATAGTTGTCCATTGGTAATCAGGGGAATGCAAATTAAAACCACAGCAAAGTACCAAAACGCCTTAAAAGACTGACAAAAATTTAAAAGCCTGAAGATATCAAGTATTGGTAGCAACCTACATTGCAGATAGCAGTGTAAATTGGAACAAAAGTTTGGAAATCAATTTGGCATTATGTAGGTGTCGCGTAATGGTTACGTGCTTGGCTGCTAACTGAAAGGCTGGTGGTTCGAACTCACCCAGTGAGTGGCTCTGAGGGAGAAAGACCTGGTGATCTGCTCCCGTAAAGATTACAGCCTAGAAAACCCTATGAGGCAGTTATACTCTGTCATGAGGGGTCACTATGAGTAGAGATGGATTCTAAGACACCTAGCAACAATGACAGACGGTTGAAGATGCAAATATTCTGTGGCTTAGCAATTTCACTCCTAGGCATGCGCCACACAGAAACTCTTTGCACAGCAAGAGACATATAGAAGAAATAACTCAAATGTCTAAAATAGTAGAATGTTTAAGTAAATTGTAACATATTCCTATAGTAGAATACTCTATGCAGTGCAAATAAACTACGGCTACTGCAACAACATGGATGAATTTCAGAAACATAATGTGAGTTAAAAAAAGAAAGCCATAGAATAGTACATTTGGTATTATTCCACTCATATAAAATTCAAAAACATGCAACACTAAATAATATAGTGATTAAGGGTACGTATGTCATAAGACTATCAGGAAATAAGAGAGTATGATAAACACATAATTCAAGATAGTGGTAACCCGGCAAAAGGCAGGTGTGGGACTGGAGAGAGTACACAGTGAACTTCAGTACTGCTGATACCGTTTCATTTCATATACTTGGTAGGTTGGTTTGTTTGCTTGGTCTTTATATTTTAAACGTGTATTGTTTGTATTCCCTTAGACATAATTGATATGGAGAATATTTTTTAAATCTCTCATCATTAAGACCTGTCAATACTGAACTTTGGTTTAAAACATAGGTCCTACTCCTTATCGTGAAAACACTTTGCCATTTATGCACGATTCAGTCTGAATCACCATCCTCCAAGAGAAGATATCGGCAGATTATTAGAGTAAGTGGCTGGCAGGCCTGGGCTGCAGAGTTAAGAGAAGGTGAGGAGGGGCCTATTGCGGAGAGGCCAACCTACTGTCAAGTTGAACCCGTCAGTAGCTGGAAGGATACTGGCCAGCCTGAGTGGGGGTGGGCATGGAAATAACATTAGACAACACTGAAGGCTCCCCCTATGCCCAGCCTCTTGTTAAACTCTTGATATTCATGATCTCATTTAATTGTAATGTAGTTAGCTTCCTAAATCTAGAGCAACCTACTGGAGTTGGGTAACTGTTTATTATACCTATTTATATATGGAGACCTGGTGGTAAAATGGTTAAAAGCTCAGCTGCTAACCAAAAAGTGGCAATTCGAACCTACCAGTTGCTCCTCCGGAGAAAAGACCTGGTGAACTGCTCCCGTAAAAATTATAGCCTAGGAAACCCTGTGGGGCAGTTCTACCCTGTCTTATAGGGTCACTATGAATTGGAATTGACTCAACAGCACACAGCAACAGCAACACCTACATATTGGGAAATTGGGACTCAGAGAAGTTAAATAACTTATCCAAGGCCACAGAGCTAGCAAGTGACAGAGCTGGGACTGGACACCAGTCTGTTTGCATTTGAAGAGCATGATCTGGACTTTGGATGTACTTGAATGATGGTAGGTCAGATGTTAGGATATGATTCAGGGAGAGAGAAGGAAAGTACAAGTTCTGGTGTTCTCTATTCCCTACCCATTGTCTTTTCTGCTCTCTGCAGCTCTTGTTTTCAATTTCTCTGTCTCCCTTTCCTTTCCCTCTCTTTCTCTAACAAATAGAGCTAAAGGCTATTTTTTTTATTGCTTGCTTTATTTGTTGAAGGAGATTTATGCTCCTTTTTCTTCAGTTTAAAACTGAGTAGGACATTTTATATTTATCTAAAGTTAGTTGTAAATAATGCTTCACTTGTGTGAGGCCCTTAGGTGAATTTTCTTTATGGGTCCAAAGTCTTCAGCAGGAAAAGGCTCCCATTAGCAAAAATGGTTCAGTGGTAGAAATCAGAAGACTGAAATTCGGGAAACCCAGTGCAATTCCTGGCCAATGCACCTCATGCACAGCCACTAACAGTCTGTCAGTGGAGGCTTTAGCGTTGCTCTGATGCTGAACAGGTTTCAGTGGAGCTTCCAGAGTATGAAGAAGGACTAGAAAGAAAGGCCTGGCAATCTACTTCTGAAAATTAGCCAATGAAAACTCTACGGGCAGCGTATCATTCTGTTATGTATGGGGTCAACATGAGTCAGAGCCAGCTCAAAGGCAGCTAACAACAACAACATCAGCAAAAACAGGCTCCCTACCAGAAAGAGAACTGAGGCTAATAGTTGGTGAAAAATACCTTGGTCCTAATGCGTTTCTATCACCAGATGGCAGCAAATAGTCTTGGAGAAAGCCATCCAGCCTAAGCACAAGATCCATATTATATCATGTGGCCAATTCCAATTGCCAGAAATTCTACATAATCTATTTAATATTCAATAGGATTTTAAGCTTTTGCTTGGGAAGGATTTTCCCTATTGCTTAGGAGACATTTCATCAAAAAGAATCAAAGGTCATTCAGATACATGCAGCAATTAAAGAACTTTTGAAGGTACTGAGTTTTATCAACAACCTTGTCTCAGTCTAGTTAAAACTATCTTTTGAAATTATGTTAAATCCCAAAGGCATATTTTTAAGTAGCTCTTACTACTTAATCGCTGAAATGCTATGTTTCCATTGAGCAGTCCTGCTAATTCCTTATTCAAGATGTGGAAAAGGTCCCTGACTGGACCACAAAGGCCTGATCTGACACTTTTTTTAAAAATTTTTTCCTGTACAAAAATTTATGCATACATTGTTATGTGACTCTGATTGCTCTCCCCACACTGTGACAGCACACTCCTCCTTTCCACCCCTGATTCCCCATGTCCATTCAACCACCTCCAAGCCCTCTCTGCCTTCCCATCTCACCTCCGGACAGAAGCTGCCCATTTAGTCTCTTGTATCTACTTGAGCTAAGAGGCACACGCCTCACAATATGTCCCACAGTCCAGTCCAATCCCTGTCTGAAGAGTTCGCCTCAGAAATTGTTTTAGCTCTGGGCTGACAGAGAGTCCAGGGGCCATGCTTTCCAGGGTTCCTCTAGTCTCAGTCAGACCATTAAGTCTGGTCTTCTTACCAGAATTTGAGTTCTGCACCCCATCTTTCTCCTGCTCCATCGGGGACTCTCTGTTGTGTTCCCTGTCAGGGCGGTCATTCGTGGTAGCTGGGCACCATCTAGTTCTTCTGGTCTCAGGCTGATGAAGTCTCTGGTTTATGTGGCCCTTTCTGTTTCTTGGGCTGATACTTTCCTTGTGTCTTTGGTGTTCTTCATTCTCCTTTACTCCAGGTTGTTGGGACCAATTGATGCATCTTAGATGGCCGCTTACAAGCTTTTAAGACCCCCTGAGCTGGCCCTCTTGAAGCAGAGAGGAGCTTGTGTGGCCCACCTGGGTAAACCCTCAGATTCTTAAGATTTGTATTTCAGATCTTATCTTTTGTGATAATTCGTTGCCCACAACAACCATACTTTGTTGTTCCTGCTTTTACAGGTGACATAGAGGCTTATAGAGGTTAGAAAATTTGCCCAGGGTTATCTTAATCGGTGGAGCTGGGATTCAGACCAGACAGCCCAGCTCTGGAGTCCTAGTGCTTAATCATTACACAAGCTGCCTTGTATAAAAGAGCCGACACATCCGAACAATAAACAAATACAGGCCTTTGAAGGAAAGCCTCTGTCTACAAGGTTATTGTCTGTTTCTGTTCAGAACTGGTCATTATGCAGTAGACGCCCATGTCTGCACGCTTTCTCCATTGATAACTCAGCCAAGACGGGGGTTCCCAGTGCCATCCTCTCCAGGATGCTGATTTTCTGTGTTTGCTGTCTGGCCATGTAGAGACTAATTGCTCAATGTGCCTGATTTCTAACCTAGATCTACCCTGGGCAGCAGATGAGGGGAGAAAACACAGTGACTGAAACAGAGGGGCTTTCGAGCTCTAGGGTATTTATGTGGCTGTGTTGTTGGGGGCTTGGAGGAATAGGAGAAGAGGGCAGCCTGGAGGGAAGAAAGCTGCAGGAAAAACGAGCAGGAATAAGCAGGATGGCTTGCTTGAAAATCCAAGAAACCCATAGAGATGGATTTCTTTAAAAGCTGTGAGCAGCTTGGTCTCTGAGAAGCATCAGGCCTGGGTGGCTTATATCTCAGTCAAGGTAGAATGTCAGCCCCCATGTAGGCTATAAGATCCATGAGAATAGCAGGCTTGTCTGACTTGCTCACCATTGTAACCCACAAACTACAACTAGACTGAAGGAACAAACGAAGAAATGAATGAGTGGAGCGAGTTGAAACTAGATTGATCAGAGAGAAGATGTGACTCAGGCCTCCAGATAGGTTACAAATGGACTAAGATGACAGGGCAGTGGGTTTCAGAGTTACCAAACTCCTTAGCACATACTTGACTCCTACTGTGGGCCTGGTGGGCTCTCCACTTTACGTGACCCCACTGCTTGTATGGCCTGGAGATAGGAGAACAAGGGAGGGAGGTATTGCTGTGGCCATAGCCCTGCCCCTGCCTTGGCTTCCCTTCCAAATTCTGGTGGGGGCAACAAAAGCACGCTGCAAGTAGGGGGCCTGGGTGTGAGTGCAGTGGCTCTCCCTTTTCCTTCTCTGCCTTTCCTCCTTCCTTTCCTCCCTACCTCCCTCCCCCTGCACACTCCTTCCCCACCTCTGTCGTCCCCTTTCCTCTTCTCACTTCCAGAGGCATCTACCAAAAAAAAAAAAAAAAAATCAAACCCATTGCCATTGAGTCATTACGACTCATCATGATCCTATAGCGACTCTATAGGACAGAGTAGAACTGCCCCATGGGGTTTCCACGGAGTGGATGGTGGATTGCAACTGCTGACCTTCTGGTTAGCAGCTGAGCTCTTAACCACTACACCACCGAGGGCTCCGAGGTATCTACAGGGATCAGTAATTGACCTCTAAATAGCGACCCATATTTATATGCTTACTAAATGTTCATACATTCATAAACAGTGAAAGCTGAACTGGCCTAAAAGATTGCTCAGAACACTCAGTGAATTTTCTTAGGCAAGTATACGGAGGTCCAGGGAAGGAAAATGATCTGTCTAGGGCTCCATAGTAGTAAAGTCAGGACTCGAACCCAGGTTTCTGGACTTCCAGATCATTGCTTCTCTTTGTGATTTCAAAGTAGTCTCATGGGAAAGAGAAATGTGGCAAGAGTAAACGAGATAATTTATCATGGGAATGAACCTTGTAAATCTTGCCCTAGTTCCAGAAGTTATAGTACGTCATATAAGAAGAGAGAATTAACATTCTATTTGCTGCCCCTCCCCAGTCTTACACAACATCCGTTTATTACCAATACATTCTTCTACCCAGAAAGGTGTTTCACAAACATTTGCTACCCAAGTAACTTATGTCTACATCCGTTTTGTGCATTTTGATATAAAATTCTGTTATTTCATAAGCAGCACCTGAAAATACATTATATATCTATAAAATAAAGAAAATCTCTCAAAAAATCCCTTTTATTGATAGTCCCAGTTCACCCCTACCTTGGTTGCACCAGAATTGGCAGAAGCAGTGGCCCCATAAATTTTAAAGACTTCCTCAATTGGGATGCTGTTCTGTCAAATAACAACAACAACAAAATGTATTATCATATTATAGCTTTTCTTTTATTAAAAATAATATTAAAATAACATACTGTCATAGCTCCAATATGTCTGGTACCATGCCTGGATAGCATGGACCCTAAATAATTTCCTGAATAATGGATAAATCAGCATATCCAGATCGTTATTGTTTAATATATTTTTCCTTCTGCTCTTTACCTTTTAAATAAATGTCTTCACAATACAATATAGAGTCCAAGCCTTTTATTGTATCTTTTTTTTCTTTTTATTGTACTTTAGATGAAGGTTTACAGAACGAACTAGCTCCTCATTAAACAACTAGTACACATATTGTTTTGTGGCGTTGGTTGCCAACCCCACAACATGTCAACACTCTCCCCTTCTCGACCTTGGGTTCCCTATTACCAGCTTTCCTGTCCCCTCCTGTCTTCTCATCCTTTGCCCCTGGGCTGGTGTTAGTCTCATTTTGTTTTATGGGCCTGACTAATCTTTGGCTGATAGGTGAACCTCAGGAGTGACTTCATTACTGAGCTAAAACAGTGTCCAGGGACCATACTCTTGGAGTTTCTCCAGTCTCTGTCAGGCCAGTAAGTCTGGTCTTTTTTTTGTGAGTTAGAATTTTGTTCTACATTTTTCTCCAGCTCTATCTGGGAGCTTCTATTGTGATCCCTGTCAGAGCAGATGGTGGTAACCCTATGATTGTATCTTAATAAATAAAACATTTAATATGAGAAAATTTTAAACATTCAGTAACATTGGCTTAAAATAGTATAACTATCATGATAAATATAGTAGATATAAAATATCCATACATGCAAATAGTGTTCTTTTCCTTACCATTAAGATGCCAGCGTAAGATGATAAAATCATTGCTTCTCGTTCTATACGGTTTGGATATATGGGCTTGCCATGAAATGGCATTTTCCTAAGGGGGAATATGAATAAATAAGAGCAGAGGATTCATTACTGTTCTTTCTGATGCCTGCTGAGATTGAGAAAATAATCTGTAAGTAATCCGATGACTGTGCTATCCTCTTATTTCCAAAATCGATGTGACTATGCCACCACCAGTAAGGTACAAACTTTGTATTTTTAATCTTCCAATAATGGTGATGAATTTGCCGTGATCCATCCATGTTTTCACAGCTATCAAACATTGGCAACCTGGTCACTTATAGTTTTGCCAATCAGTTTCCTTTCCCCATCTTATGGAAATTTGCTGGGAGGAACTGCCATAACCTACTGTAAGCCCATATGCTTCTAGTGAAGCGGACAACATTATTAGGTTCGAAGGATCAAGAATATACCATGGATTAAGTCAGTGTATTCCATCTCCCCCCAGCGAAGTCAGGACAAACAGAGCCATCATGACTCAATTCTGTGTTTTTTAAATCCATTCTCCCCTCAACTGAACATTGTAATGAAATGGGCTGAAGCTGGGAATGGTGCCCAACCAGAAGAAATAGAGTCAATAGGTAGATCCTGATGACATTGTTTGAGATTTGAATTAAGGCAGAATTCTCGCCTTCCGTTTGGGAGACTCAGGTTGGATTCCCAGCCAATGCATGTCACGCTCAGCTACCACCCAGCTTGTCAGTGGAGGTTTGTGTGTTGCTATGATGTTGAACAAACTAAGACAGACTCGGAAGAAAGGCCTGGCAATCTACTTCCAAAAATCGGCCAATGAAATCTCTATGGATCAGAACGGTCTGATCCACAACCGAGCATGTGGATGGTGCAGAACCAGGCAGTGTTTCATACAGTTGTGCATGGGGTCACCATGAGTCAGGGACCGACTTGACAACACTAAACGACAATTACAGCAATGGAGACCTACCCGTGGACTTTTCTGATACTGAGGCAATCAGCTCTCTCTTTTAGCTTAAGGGAGTTTCAGTTGGGTTTTCTATTTATCACAACTAAACCTTGACTAATCCAGCCATCCAGTACCAGATGTGCAGTCTAAGATCACAGAACAGAAAAAATAACTGGTCTGTGGAATAAGCTATTTGATCCTATCCTCATTAGTTCCATGTTCTTACCAATTAAGTGAGTTGGCCTAGACCCTCAGCATGAGAGAAGACGCTAATAATCCCGAGAAAAAATTATCCTATGATTCCAACAGCTCAGCTCAGGTACATATCTGCTTAAATGCTTTGGAAATTATGTTTGGTGATTCTTAGAAAAGTTTGTAGCCATTACCCATAGAATTGACCACTTTAAAAATCAGGGCATGTATATAATAAAGCGCAGTCATACTTCTAAGGCAAGGCATTCTGGGCAAGAAAGTTTTTGATCTGACAGAAATCAACCAGCAGAGATGCAAGATACATAAACATGTGCATGACTTCTCCAAGTTGGCAATTATGGCGTTTCTTCAGATATCTTGTTGAAAAAGGGATACTCATCCTGCAGTGGTTTCAAAGTACAGTACCCCACAGTGGAAAAAAACTAGATAGGTCTGGAACTCCCTCTATCATTAATCACAGTCATACATAAAAAGAAAAAGGACAAACTAATTCAACTTACATTTCCTCCCACTCCAGCCACATTATGTCTTCTGAGTGATCCAGCCATTGCAAAGCAACGCTGATGGCCAAGTCATAGTGAGCCTGGAAGTGGAGAACAGAGCGCAAAATAACAGGCTTAGACGTTGGCCTATAGGTTTACTATAAGACATTGGTCCTATAGGGTTACGATAAGCTAAAATCTACTCAATGGCAGTGGTTTCTTTCTTTCTTTTTGTTTGGTTTAGAGCAGGTATACGATTTGCATGGTCCAAAAAGGAAAGAATACTAAACTGGGAATCTGGGCTCAACTTGTATATCCCTGGATGAGCGACTGATGCTCTCCGGGCCTCAGTTTTCTTAAGTTTTACAATAGAAAAAGGTGGGGTTCCACAGAAATGCAAGATGTTAATAGCTGGAGAAATAGAAAAAACAGGAGTGTGGTGGGGGATGGGGAGTACAGGGAACTCTCTATACTTTCTGCACAATTATTCTGTAAAGCTAAAACCGACCTAAAAAATAAAGTCTGTTAGGAAAAAAAAGAGTGCATGATTTGGGGAAGAGGACCTTGGAGAACACTTTCTGATTCTGTGAGTAGAATGTCAAAAATATGTTTGCAGGGGCACAGGGAAAGCGTTGTGGGAACTAGTAAGGAGGGACCATTACATCCACCTGGGGAGTTAAGGAGAATCCTGGGAGGCTTCAGAGAGGAGGTCTCATTGGAGCTGGGCCTTGAAGGATGAGAAGTGTTTCTGCAGGTGGAGAAGCACATCCCAGGTGGAGCAACCAGCATGAGCAAAGGACTGGAGGCAGACCTGATTGTGACTTGCTCAGAGTCTCATATACAGTAAAAAGCTAAGGACAAATTCAAACGTTCGTTGCTATCATGTTGTTGTTGTGTGCCGTCCAGTCGATTCCAACTCACAGTGACCCTATAGGACAGGGTGGAACTGCCCCATAGTGTTTCCTAGGCAGTAATCTTCATGGGAGCAGATCGCCAGGTCTTTTCTCCCTCGGAGCTGCGGGTGTGTTTGAACCTCCGACTTTTCAGTTAGCAGTCTAGTGCTTAACCACTGTGCTACCGGGGCTCCTTGTTCCTATCATAGTGACCACCTTTTCTCGATTAGTTTATGAACTCTTGTGTAGTAAGTATATTCACTAGTTATCTATCAAACTATTCCTTCTTCCTCCACTCCCACCTCCAGAAAAGAAAAGATTTGTCTTGATTTTTTTTTTTTTTTAAGATGCATTCTAAGGTTCTCTTTAACTCTAGCATTGCTAAAACAACCTAGTTATTTCTTCCAGGGACTGAACCAAACTGAAAAGTGAACCAAAAATAGGAAAAACTTAAAAATGGACCATGATAATTGGTGAAACCTAATCCAAAGTTTGATGTGCAGACCAGCAGCATCGGCATTATCTGTGTGCTCATTAACAAAAGAAACCAAACCAAACCCATTGCCATCGAGTCGACTCTGGCCCTATAGGACAGAGTAAAACTGCTCCATAGGGTTTCCAAGAAGCAGTTGGTAGATTCAAACTGCCGACCTTTTGCTTAGCAGCCATGCTGTTAACTACTGCGCTGCCAGGGATCCTGTGTGAGCATTAGAAATGTACATTCCTAGGCCCCATCCCAGACCACCTGAATCAAAACCGCATTGTTACAAAAACCAAAACCAAACACATGGCCATCAAGTCTGACTCATAGAGACCCTATAGGACAGAGTAGAACTGCCTTGTAGGGTTTCCAAGGAGTGGCTGGTGGATTTGAATTGCCAGTCTTTTAGTTAGCAGCCAAGCTCTTAACCACTGTGTTACCAGGGCTCCAAACTGTAACAAGATTTCATTAAAGCTCGAGACGCACTGCTCTCCATTTACCATGAATGCAGAGAGTATTTTAGAAGGCAAATGCTTAACTGTTTATTCCGCTCCAGAAAAGATTTGAAAATCAGTCAGCCTTCTTAAACCTTAGCTTCCTAAACGTGAGAGAAAGGAGACAGAGGTCCTTTCTTCCATACTAGTGCAAGGCTAGTAAATAGAGTATATAAAAAAGCTAAGGATTGAACAGTTTCTTTTGAATTAGATCTTTACACGTTTTCTTCCTTAATTTATGTGAACTTTCGTAACATAACATGTATCTGAGTTTCAACATGATTAATAACACAAAGGATTTTAGGATTATTCACTGCTTTGGATTTTCCCCACTAATGTAAATGATAAAGAAAGCGTTATACTTGAGAACAAGATAGCTAATTTTGTAAAAAAATAAAAAGTTAACGTCATGTACGCAGCATTTAACCTTGCATTCATTTTCCTTTTTAAACTTTTCTCTCCTAAGAGCAAGCAACACTCATGGATTTTATTTTCTCATTCTCTTTTTGCTTTCTGTTTAATGGGTTGAAATGACCATATGGACAATCCTAGTGAGGCAGGCAGTCTCAGAGCCCAACCCTTCTAAGAAACACCTCCTCTGGCTTAACCTTCTACACTGAGCAGAATAGGCCACACATTCTTCTGAAGTGGTCCTCGACAAGATAACCACAGAATGGGCCATAGATGGCCTCAACCTGCCTCTAGATGGAGACTTAACACACTAATGAAGGAAAATTGACCTCCTCCTCCATGTTGGAGAACTGAACCCTTGTTTAAAGAAAATGCCTAGTCATCCTCAAGCTCTGACTACTTGTGTGAAGGTCAATCCTGAATATTCATGATAAATTTGCATTTCCTTGTCCGCTTTCTGTAAAAGACCACCTCCCAAAGCTGCCTGCCAGCAGTCTTGGAGGCAGCAACCCCAATTGCTCCTTTCCTTGTGCAACAAAATAAAGGCGCCCTTCTTCTCTCACCTCGGCCTCTTGTTTACTGGCTGTAACAAGTCACGCCGAGCAGAACCCGGGGTTTCCACTGGCAACACTAGCACACGGAGAGGATGAGGAAGAGGGCATTTTGAGGGGATCAAGGTTAGCCCTGTTTGAAACCAGTCTGAAAAATAAAGCTACATACTGTATGATTGCAACTGTATGATCTGGGCAAGGAAAAACTATAGAGACAGTAAACAGATCAGTGGTTGTCAGGGGTTCAGGGGGAGGGGAGGAGGGATGAAAAGGTGGAATACTGGGCGTTTTTAGGGCAGTAAAACTCTTCTGCATGATACTCTAATGGTGGCTACATGACATTATGCATTTGTCAAAACCATGCGACTGTACAACACAAACAGTAAACCTAAATGTAAACTGTGGACTTCCGTTCATAATTATGTATCTGTATTTAATGTTTGTTCAGCAGTGGTAACAAGGGTACCACAGGAATGAGAATAGGAGAAACTGTGCAGTGGAGGGTTATATGGAAACGCTCTGTACTTTCCACACAATTTTTCTTTAAACCTAAAACTGCTCTAAAAAATAAAGTGCATTAATTTTTAAAAATCAGCCCTGTTTATTATATAGAGTAAATTAGATCTTTGTTCTGTCCCTTCATACACATATAACACAAATGTGACTTGCACCAGCATGCCTTTCTTTACCATATCGTCTAGAAAGGTGAGTTGCCTTCTTCCTTTTGGGTCAAATTCATTTTCCCGAAGTCTGATGCCAATATAATCTCCCCTTAAAAGCAAGAGAGCAGCATTGAACCATAGGGAATGACAAGTGGGCTCAGTCTGCAGAAAGAGTCTTTCTTCCCCATCCCTCCCTCCTCTACCAAAACACGAGAGAAATCACCAATGGGTCTGGTATCTGAGTTAATATTTAATTTCCATTTAAATGGTAATTCTGGAACATTGCAGGTTAAAAAATGTTTAAACCCAATTAATTTAAATTACATTTATCTAAAAATTAAATTTACATAGAACAGAGTTTAGAGAAAGGCAGGGAGTATGACAAATTCCCACACACAAAAAAGGTTTTACAAAAGCAAAAAGACTGAGACTCATATTTTTTAAAATAAATATTCTCTTGCTGCCCATGTTAAACTCAGGTAGAATGTCCAAAGTTGATAAATTCCAGGTTCATAAGATTCCATAAGTGAAGATGTAGTCTTTTGCCCTAAGACTTTATGCAAATACCCTTAGGAGGAGTTAGGCATAAACATGTATTAGTAATTCCACTTTAGTGTGTCCTTATCAGATCCTTTCCTACCGGTGACTTTTAATAAAAGAAGGGTAGAATAAAGACCCCAAGAGGAGAATAGAAAGAGATGTTACCCTGGGAATACTGGGGAGAGGGACTGGGTACAGGGAAAAGGACTCTGGGGTCCTGCTGACTTCAGCAAATCTCACAATTTTTCTAAAGGCCAGTTCTGGTTGTCAAAATATTTACCATACCAGGACACCTTGGACTACTTACTGTGTGGGGAATGTTATTTTTTGGCTTCTAAAAGCTTTTCCTCTGAGTCAGTACACTTTTCTAGATTGTTAAGCATTCTTGAATTTTTGCTTTGAAATTCCAAGATGCTTTATTTAAAGTAGTCTAATGTAGTCTTTGGGTTAAAAAATAAATATATCAGTTTTGAAATTTAATTCTTTGGATGAGATATATAGAGGAGTTGGCTTTCCTGATTATGGTTTGTCCTTTATATATTTGTCCCCAAACACATACATGTAAACATAGTTGAATCCATACATAGTTGATTCCAACAATTCTTAAGGACTTGTTAAAAGATCATTATTTTAGTACACAGAGGAAAGAGATCTGGTGGGAACTCTGATGAGGTCTTTGAATAATTGTATATTGTTGCTATGTACATAGCATACATGAAATCGAGGATAACCTTTTCTTTGTTTTTATATGGTTTGTGATTTTCACCAATCTTTTAGCTAAGTACCAAGTCAAAGACAAGCTGCCACAGGAGAAAAAATTTTTCCTTGGACAAACTTGATATTTCCTGTGTTTGTGTTAAAAAAAAAAAAAAAGAAGCTCAGATGGCCAGAAAAAGGGGGTGAATTATTTAATCAGTATGACAGATAATAAAAAGAGGTTGAGGCTGCAATTTAAACGCTGGGCCCTTGGGCACGTTCTTTAGAAATCTTTTACCAGCAGCGTCAGCACTTCTCCTGCCCAGCACAGGCCCACTGGGCTGTGGGCTCAGCTCTAGACTGCGGACGCCGCGGAAGTGCACACAGCTGGCAGAAACATCCTCCCAGGGATCCAGCATCCTGCTTTTCACTACAGATGAGGCCTCTGGACAGGGCACTAAGGCCAGGCCATCTGGATTTCTCCTATAGTGCAGGAATAGATTCTTCCTTAAAATTTTCCCCCACTGTTTATGTCCAGACCATCTGTGACATGAAACCCACCAAATGGAGAATGGAGTAGATGAAAGCTATTCTCAGTCATACTTACAGAATTTTTTTCATTTCCTTTTTTAGGAGTCTTCTTTCCATGATTTAAAGGCTTATTCAGCTAAGCAGGTATTTGCAGTTTACACTGCACCTGAAATCATTTGGGAAGACTCAGGCTCTCTATGCCTAGAAGCCACTGCAGCAAATCAGAAAGCGTTCTTGTTAGGGATGTTATCACTGCAAATACCAGTCATGGAGTCCTAGGCTCTGGAAGGGATCCGGGAATGCACATGGTTCAGGCCCTTTTGTCCAGCAGGTTCCAGGTCAGAAAGTTGTCCGGAGGCTAATGTACCATACCTGGCGATTACCCAACACCTTTTAGTCCTTCCAAGTTTTCCCAAAACTTATCATTTACTTATCCTTGCAATAAACTAGTTAGTAGGACAGGCAATAGTTAATAGAATAGTTGATGAGACTGTTTGCTCAGAACCATCCAAACATGGACAGCTTGTGATCTGAATATGTTTGAGTTCTTCTCTGTACACTCAACTGTAATGACTCCCTGAGCCTGCCCTGACACAACAGCTCACAACACTGTTTCCTATAGAACCTGTCTATAATTTCCTATGGCCAGCAGGTCCTTGAAAGACCATTCAGCCATGACAAATGGGAGACCATGTCCTGTAGCCCCTACCCCAATGTTGAGCCAGAAATTGGAGTTTAGGTGATGGGGTCAAAATGGATCCAAAACTACAAAAAGGAGTGTGCAAGAAACATTGCTATTGAATTGGGTGCCCAGGAAGAGGTATAAATGGGATATCAACTATATCTGTAATTTTTAAATTTATTATTAAAAAAGACTTGAAGGAAATATGGCTAAAATGTTAACATTTATTGACTCTGAGATGATGAGTCTATGAATGCTCATTATATTGCCCTTTGTACTTTTGAAGTCGTCCACATATATTTAAATCATTACTCTAAACATGGTTGGGAAAGAGACTTTAGAAACTTCTTTTGGAAATTATAGCACATGAACACTAAGCTTCATTTGATTCAGTTCTCAGCAATAAGCAGAGATGAAACCAGGGCTTTGAACTCCTGCTGAGAATTTGCATTTCTAACAAGTTCGCAGGGTATGCTAATGCTGCTGGTTAGGGACCAATTCTGAGAACCACTGGTAGAGCAGTGATTCTCGAAATGTATTATACGTAAGAATCAGCTGGGGATCTTGTTAAAACATAGATTCTGATTCAGTATATCTAGAGTGGGAATGCAAATTCTCAGCAGGGGTTCGAAAAAGAAGGAACCATTTTGAAGCCCTGGTTGAAACAGGATGCCACTGATTTAAATGAATTCTTCAGTAGGCCAGTTTGATCCTTTAGGAACATTCTCGCTGCTGCTACATCTGCATGAAAGGGGGAAAGAAAGTAGGAGCATGCCATAGGAAATGGATTAACTGTAAAGACAGTAATATTGCTCCCCATCAGATAGTGAACTGGGAGAGGACGCTGCAAGTCAGAGAGGTGGCAGCATGAGTTGGAGAAGGAAAGCACCGAAGCTGGGGAATCCAGATGCTGGGATGTTCACTCTACCCCTGATTGGTGCATCTTTGGCCAGCCTCTTGGCTCTTCTGTGCCCCAGTCTCTGGAGTCATCTGTAAAACAGTGGCACTTGGCTGCTAACCTAAAGGTCAACGGTTCAAACCCACCCAGCAGCTCCACAGGAGAAAAGACCTGGTGATCTGCCCCCGTGAAGATTACAGCCTAAGAAACTCTGTGGGGCAGTTCTACTCTGTCTGTAGCTATGGGTCGGAATTGACTCAACGGCACACAACAAGTTAACAATGCCAAGGACATCTTTCATCATACCATTCTGTAGCTATGAAGGCTGGCATGTATTATTACTCTTATAACTCAATAATTTGGAGAAGCATTTTAGGGAGAACATTTCTCCTACCCGAATTGCTTAACAGGGGGACAGGCTCACTTAGCTTACTAGTTGTCGTTGAGTCACCTCTGACTCATGGGACCTCATGCGTGTCAGAGTAGAACTGTTGCTTCATAGGGTTTTCAGTAGCTGATTTTTAAGAAGTAGGTGGTGAAGCCTTTCTTCCAAGGTGCCTCTGGGTGGACTTGAACAGCCAAACTTTTGGTTAGCAGCCAGCATATGTTAACCACATGCACCACCCAGGGACTTAACATTTACTTTAACACATTCTTGTTCTGTAATTCTGAGCAAGCCTTTTGAATTTAAGACTTACAAATCATAAAGTTTGCATCTCTCGCTTGTTGTGACAACTTCCTCTTACAACCTCCATCCCCATTCAATGTGGCATAATATACAAAGGCTTAAATCTTAAAAATATGAGCATTTCCCACCACAAATCCACTAGGCTGGGAGTCAGGAGACTCTGTGAGGCATGGGACCACCAAGCAGCTGTGTCATCTTAGACAAGTGGCCTTGCCTCTCTGTGTCCTTGGATTTCCTCCTCTGTGTAAAACTAGCATTGAATGATTGGTGAGGTCCCTTCCAGCTGTAGAATTCAGTGATTTACATGTGTTTGGTAGCTATGCCTGGTTGAAAGAGGGCCATTTGCAGACCTTTATTCGGTTTGAATTTGAATTTTGCCAGTCACATCCCCCTTTTCTTCCTATACCACTTTAAAGAAAACAAGGCCCTGGCTGAAAATACACACAAAAGAGCTACTGGAAAGATGTCAGCTGTCTCAGGCTTTAGCTGTTTCATAGAAGACAACCTTCCAGAAGTCAGAACTCCCATATTCTATGGGAATATCATACCCTGAAGAACATCTGCACACTCCATCCACTAAGGCTCCCCCTCCCCAATTATACTCCTACATGTATGATACATGTCTCTCCAGCTGTTGTATTAGCTGCTCAGGTCTTAACAATTTTCCCTTTCAGAATCTCTCAGCAACTGGAGACGGATTCCAGTGCTTTTGTTCTTTCCCTGCTTCGGGAGTCACGCTGGAGCACTGACTTCGGCTGGTACCCACACACAGCAGGGAAACAGATGCTTTTTTTCTGGTTGCTAGGAAACCATGACTGAATGAAAAAATAGTTTGCAAAACACCCCCTATCTAAAGGAGGGAAAAAGCCATGTACTCGGTATAGGATTGCGATCCTGACCTGCAGTTCATGTATCTTTTTACCTGAGCAGGCTTTGGGTTCCCCATCTGAATGATTCATCAGAAAGCTGAGAGGATGTGACCAGTCCACCTCCTCTAAGACTTTTTATAGCACTTGACTGCAGACAAGAGGTGTCAACTGACCAAGCAAGGGTTGCTGAGGGAAGCCAGTGTACTTCTGGCTCCTCACACACTTAGGGTGCCCCAAAGCACTTGTTGTTAGTTGCTGTCAAGTAAGCTCTGACTCATGGAGACCCCACATACAACAGAACGAAACGTTGCCCAGTCTTACACCATCTTCAGGATTGTTGGTATGCTCAAGCCCATTGTTGAGGACACTGTGTATTTTGAGTGCTTTCCAACCTAGGGATTTCATATTCCAGTACTATATTAGACAATGTTCTGTCGTGGTCCGTAGGGTTTTCATTGGCTAATTTTCAGAAGCAGATTGCCAGGGCTTTCTACCTAGTCTGGAAGCTTGGCTGAAACATGTCTACCATGAGTGACCCTGCTGGTATTTGAAATACTGATGGCATAGCTTCCAGCATCGTAGCAACATCAAAGCCACCATACACAGTATGACAAACCAACAGTGGTTGCACTTAAGGTGATTCTATTTGGTGACTATAATAGACTACAGTATATTATTCTGGTCGACCTTGTGCTGGATGTCTTTTATCGGTAACACTTAGTCTTCATTCCACTCCTCTCAGCAGACCACATCTTGGTTACCTGCTATCTTAGGTATTCTATGAGTGACAGTAAAAACTCTAGATTTGGATTTTTATAGATGAGTTGTCTACTGATTTAAGAGATTAAAATTGGAGCCATTATTCCCTGTCCTTGAGTATAAAGAATGTGACCCAGCTGGAGCTGGACTCATAAGGACTTACAAGGACATGTCAACTGGGCCCTGAGGTATAAAGACAATAGCTAGGACAATCTTGGAAAACATCTTTTAGGGAACCTTTCACATAAACTAATCAAACAGAGCACAAAAGACCCACGTGTTTTCCACTCTTATTTTTTTCTATTAGCATTTAGTGAACAATAAGATTTGTTGGACCAGTGAAGACCCTCCTGACTGTCATTACTGAAACCTGTACCAATGACTGGAGCCCTGGCAGTGCAGCGTTTAAGAGATTGGCTGCTAACCAAAAGATGAGCAGTTCGAATCCACCAGGTGGATCCACCAGGATCCTTGGAAACCCTATGGCGCACTTCTACTGTGTCCTCTAGGGTTGCTGTGGGTCTACAGCAACGGGTTTGGTTTTTTCTTTTGGTTTGGTTTCTGGGCTTGTTTATCCCAACCCCCTTCACTGAAGCAGCTGTAGTTGGTCCAACTCAACCAAGTCCTCACCAACCCCAGTGTCCCCCCGTCCCTAGCTCTGGTCCTTGGGGACAAAGAGAGGGTCCAACTGCTTGCTGTTTCACCAGGGGCAGGTTGTTGCCAGGACCCAGATAATGCTGACAACTACTGGTCCTGCCGCAATCCCAAGACCACCACCAGGGCATGGAGGGTGATCCCCTGGCTGCGGTGCTGCTGTCTCCTCCCACTTCCCCCGTGGCAGTCATGCCAAGCCTTAGATGAAAAGCCAGGAGAGTGAAGGCCTCCCCCTAGAATGCACTAGCTTCTGGGAAATCCACCTGTTCTTATACATCCTATTCCCAAGGCTTTAAAATCAAAATAAAACCACACAACAACAGCAACAGAACACTTTATACTACAGTGGGGAAATTCTCAGTTCTCAGAGCATATCCTTAAGGATGATGTAAAAATAATATCCATGTTTTATACGTAAGGAAACCAGGTGACAGAAAGCGGAGGAATTTGCCAGGGAGGGTACATTTAATCATCTCAGGCTTCCCAGGTGCTGCATTTTCAGCAGAATTTTCAATGTCTTCTTTAAACTCTTTAAAATTCCTAATAGATTCATGATATCTGCATAGA